CATTTAAATGAAAATAAACATTTATAAACAATATTTGGGGATTTGGGCGTCGTTCTTTCTAAACTGCTTTCTGTTGATTGGGGCGATGTTCATATACTATAGGGATCATGATAAAACATAGAAACCTGACCAAGTCCTTGTTTTTGTAGTCTGTAAGGCTGTATCATCTCAGCTTTAGGGGGTCTTGCTTGATCAAACCATATTAGTCTGGAAGGAATCAATAGTTTTTGATTTTTTGTGGAAATACAAGTAAAACCTTTATTTCTAAGTAGCCTGTCCTTAGACTTAAATTTTGAAGTCAAGTAAGTTGGATTAATTTAGTAGCATTTATAATCAAATGTATTTTAGCAGTAGTAATTTTTTCCTCGGCAATCAAACAATTTAAAGACAACAATATGGCATATAGTATCTATATTCTCTGTGTATTTTTATCTTTATGTGGCTTTTTTACTATTTTACTTTTTTTTTCTTTTGTATCTTTTTTTCCGAGACAGAGTTTTTTGTGGAAATCTGTCTGTCTCTGCTTCCTTTAGCAAATCCTATCGGCGTTGGCCATCATAACCGGCTACTCTATTTTCTCCTGTTACTTTTCCTCTCACCAGCCTACATATATTTTTTAATGTAGTGTAAACTTTTAGAGTTTTTTTTTTTTATCTGCATCTGTCTTTATCATCTTGGGAGTGTTGAGCCTAAACCCCAGAAGTGTCGTGATGGCGCGAGCATATGGAAGTTGTTTCCATGCCACTCAGTGGCCCGACAGGGCAAGCTGTGGCGGCAGGTTTACCTCTTTCTCTGGGAACCTTGGGGCATGGAGTTATCCCACTCCTGACATCAAACTTTATAAAATAAATAGCACTGAAGAGTGTCAGCAACTCTGACAGGCAACCCCAGATTAGATGGCTGGGACTCATGTTTCTCTTTCTGCAAGGTTGGATAGACAGAAAAGCAGAAGCTGAGTTGGAAATCAGAAGAAGGGGCAGAGGCTGCATGGATGAGAATTGCCCTGTATAGAGAGAGCTGGGCTCAGAGAAGGGTGGAGAGCGTCCTGGGGTTCAATATAAGCCTTGCCATTTGCTTATTGCAACTCCCTGCATTGCCTGTCTCCCAAGTACCAGGAGAACTAAGGGAGATAGTTCTGAAAAGACCTGGGGTGGGATTGCACACAGTGGCAAATGTTGTTATTCTTCTCTTTGATGATATCCTTTGTCCTTTGCAAAGACAGGCCTGGGCAAATGAATCTAAAAGTCCTTTAGTCTTGTGCCAGTTGCATGGACAGCCTTATAGATGTCGAACTTCCTGTAAGAATTTCCCACCATATATCATATATCTAGTCTTTGAGCCTTTGTTTGGGTCCTTTGTTCTTTTAGATTGTGCATTTTGTTTATTTTCCTGGTGGGAACCTGCTTTTCTGTGAGCCTAATGGGAGAGATGTGCAGGGGATTATAACCACAGAAGCACACACACACACACACACACACACACACACACACGCACGCACGCACGCACGCACGCACGCACGCACGCACGCATGCACGCACGCACGCGCACGCATGAAAGTGCCCTAGAAAAAGCAAGGCACCTCCACATCTCCTGGGCCTCACATCATCCCCTGATATGCTTTGTCAATAGAGTGATTGGCAGTGTGTATCCCCACCACACCTCACCCTATCTTAGAAACCAAAATCAGTGTGGCTTTCCATATCCATCACCCTCAAAAGCACTGTGAGCTTGCCAGATCTGTTTATTTCGTGTCCCAGCCCAAGCGTCAGTGTTACAATATTGGATGGAGGTTCTTGTCTTGAAACAAGATCAATACTTAATATGGGAACATGCTCTAACGGAGAGGACTCATGGACTTCTAAGCAGCAGCAGCTACTCAAATGAGCTGTGTCAGTGATAGACAGCTTATTTAGGTCTTGGTTAATCCACAAATGTGTTGTTCTGTATTACAATTACTTAATTTGGATGTCCTTTCAAGGACAGTGTTAAAACCTGCATGTCATTGGATCAGCCAAGTCACACAGCAAAAGGAAGTTTGAGTGTGTTACTGTTTGGGGATGTTTTTATGGCAGCTCCAGAGTGCTGTAAAATACAGTATTAATTTTTTGTTTGACATATTCAAAAATGCCATGGGCAAATGATTTTTGTAGATTATGAATATATCAGGCAGTAAAAAATTATTTTAGAGACTTCTCTGGGTTCTCAGAGGTTAGCAAAATATTTTTTAAAAATGCCTCTAAAACTTCCTACCACTTACACAAATCACAGAAGAAATGCAAATTTAGGGGGAAAATATGGATAATAACTATAAAATACAGATAGACTGATTCCAATGAAGAAACATGGCTATTACTTTGAGAGCATGACCAACTCGTATGCAAATGTACTTATGTATGGGAGTTGGTCCACATATACACCTAAATAATTCAACAAGAGAGCGACTGTAATTTTCAACATTTTCATATAGCAATGGAGTATAGATGTATTTTCTTATCACTAAATGTACATTCACACAATCTCTTTTGACAGCATTGCACCGAATCATGAGTCATAGTTGATCTAACCATCCCTGTGGTGTATTTTGGTAGGTTTTGATAATTTAGCATAGTCTGCAGTTTAGGACACATCATCTTTGTGCTTTTGTGTAACATTTCCACAGAATAGAGTATTACATTGTACTTGAGAATCTCCCTGTCCTATGGGAGAGAACAAACACATACACATGGAAAGAAATCAAGTGAATACAAAGGGACCCAGGGGACTAAATTAGTGCACTGGCCAAGAGTCGAAAGCCTGAGATCATTTCTAGCTAGGACTGTAGCAGAAGGCCCCAGGAAAGAAAACTGTGAGCCACAGAAACAACACTAACACAGGCTAAGTGCAAAAGGCAAAGCTTTGGCTCATGAAATTGAAACATCCACTTGGTTTCAAACTGAGCTGCGACAAGTGTTTGGATGTTGGTGTGTGTGTGTGTGTGTGTGTGTGTGTGTGTGTGTGTGTGTGCGCGCGCGCGCGCGCATATGCACCTGGTGCACCTCGTGACTCAGCTCCTCAATGTGGTAGCACTATTAACAGACTCTCTTCTCTATGACTTCTTCCTCTGGCAGCCTCAGGCCTGAGGGGTGTTTATACTCTCTATTAATCTCCGCCTGACCCTTTGCACAGTCCTTCTGACCACCTGTCACTTTATGACAAGAAATGGCATGGTCTGATAGCTGGCCTGGGTCTTATGCTTGTGCCCTGTGTGACTGGAGACCCATGCTGTGAAGTAGTAATCAGTGGGAAAAAATGATAGAAGACGACAGTCATGAACAGACTAATGAAGATGTTGGGCATTGAGCAGGCGCTGGTAAATACTTTAGGCTACAAATACTGGAAAGCTGTAAACCGAACAGCACCAGCAATGCTGCTGGTGTGTTATGAAGTCCAGAAGGCATAGTGGGCTCTACCGCCATATGATCCATGGCTCCATGGTGACATTGAGGACTCCGCTGCTTCCCAACACAGAATCAACTTCTCTCTTAAGAACCCCACACTTCCTATGTACAGCTAGCCACAGAGGGTGAGAAATGACCCTCTTTGAAGAGTTGGTTAACTCTTTTCTTTCATCTGATTGGATGAGCCAAGTCACATGCATACCTCTAAACCAATAGCCATCTCTATTAAGAACAGTACACACTGATTGGCCAATCAGTGATCCGGGAGAAAGGGTGAAACACCTTCTCCCTGAGGCACTGGGAATATGTGAAGGTTCTGGGATCCCCTGAAGAAGTGAGAGGTGTATGTTGAGTGGTCATTCCACACTGGAATCCAAACAAATGGTCATTGCTTCAAGATGGTGTCTTGAATAAGAAGAAGACAATCTCTGGTTAGAAGGTGAAATTCTAGGGATGCCCTGGTGATAGCTGACCACAATGTGGAAATAAGTTTGCACAGGGACCAGGTAGTAAGTAAGCTCACTGGGATATGATCAGCTACTCATGCTTTCAGGCAAGCCTTGGGCTGACTTCTGAGGATGTAATTACAAGAGGAAGTTCATATCCTCAAGAACTTCTGGTGGTGGAAGCTGGCAACAGACTAATAGAGTTAACCTATAACCTACCCAAAAAATCAAGATGGAAGTGTATAGAGGAAAAGGTGGGCAGGGAGTCAGGTTGGCATTTGAAAGCAAGGTCGAGTAACACAATGGTATATATGAAGGGAAGGGTTCTTTGGGTAGAAGAAGCAGCAAGTGCAAAGGCCCTAAAGCTGGTGCCACTATCTTCTTGGAGTTTTAGTAGGGGGACAAGAGGCAGTTAGTAGGTAGAGAGGTCAAAGTGGAAGCTAAAGTCAGGCCATGGATCTTTCAGGAATTGCAGAGACTTTGTACTTAGCCTGAATAAGAAGTTAAATTTATGATAATGGGGGATAGTAATTGCAGGAAACAATGACCCAGCACTTTCTCCTTGGCTCTGCATGACTCTTAATTCTTTCTCCTCTCCTTTCTTCCAGGCCATGTATATGTTCTATGCACTTGCCATCGTGTGTGATGACTTCTTCGTCCCATCCTTGGAAAAGATCTGTGAGGTATGTGGGGGCACATCCCTAGTGTGCTTGAGAGGAGCCTGGGATGGGGACTCTGTCCTGCCATGGTCTAGCCTCTTCTCTGAGGTCCTTGGGAGTCTCAGTTGTAAACACCTGCAGGCCTGAAAGAGAAGGACAGTGTTAGCTCAGTCTTCGTGACTGATATTTGGTAATCCCCTGGGGTTGGGGCAGACTTTAACCCACAAAGCATCTGCCCTTACTGCGAATATCCTCAGGGTGTCTGTGGGGATGCTTCCAGAATGTCCTGCAGCAACATACTTTGTGACTGCTCCAGCACATAAAATATTGTAATAAGGTGTAGTGTTTGCGAACAACCTGCACATATACTCCTGTGTGCTTCACTACACTGCTGTAAGTCCTGTGGAGACAGATGTTGCACTGTGTTGTTTAGGGAATAATGACAAGACCAAAGCTGTATGTTCCTTGCAGATGCAAATAGTTTTTCAAATAATTGTGGTTTCTGTGTGTTAAACCCACAGTTGACACCCCAGGCATGAAGCGTTAGACTTTGTGTTCTGCCCCTCCCCCTTTTTTTTCAATTCTGCTGCTTCTTGCTCCCTAGCCTTCCCTCCACCTTCCTTTGCTTCATTTCTTCCCCCTGGGGTCCTGTTAGGGTAAGAACCTACAATCACTACATGCTTCTCTCACACTTAACTCTCTATTTACACTCTGGGGGGAGGCCTGGCAGGCTCTGGGACAAGAGAGCTGGGCACAAAGTGTTGCACATTATTCGAAGTGGAAGCTAAAGTCAGGCCATGGATCTTTCAGGAATTGCAGAGACTTTGTACTTAGCCTGAATAAGAAGTTAAATTTATGATAATGGGGGATAGTAATTGCAGGAAACAATGACCCAGCACTTTCTCCTTGGCTCTGCATGACTCTTAATTCTTTCTCCTCTCCTTTCTTCCAGGCCATGTATATGTTCTATGCACTTGCCATCGTGTGTGATGACTTCTTCGTCCCATCCTTGGAAAAGATCTGTGAGGTATGTGGGGGCACATCCCTAGTGTGCTTGAGAGGAGCCTGGGATGGGGACTCTGTCCTGCCATGGTCTAGCCTCTTCTCTGAGGTCCTTGGGAGTCTCAGTTGTAAACACCTGCAGGCCTGAAAGAGAAGGACAGTGTTAGCTCAGTCTTCGTGACTGATATTTGGTAATCCCCTGGGGTTGGGGCAGACTTTAACCCACAAAGCATCTGCCCTTACTGCGAATATCCTCAGGGTGTCTGTGGGGATGCTTCCAGAATGTCCTGCAGCAACATACTTTGTGACTGCTCCAGCACATAAAATATTGTAATAAGGTGTAGTGTTTGCGAACAACCTGCACATATACTCCTGTGTGCTTCACTACACTGCTGTAAGTCCTGTGGAGACAGATGTTGCACTGTGTTGTTTAGGGAATAATGACAAGACCAAAGCTGTATGTTCCTTGCAGATGCAAATAGTTTTTCAAATAATTGTGGTTTCTGTGTGTTAAACCCACAGTTGACACCCCAGGCATGAAGCGTTAGACTTTGTGTTCTGCCCCTCCCCCTTTTTTTTCAATTCTGCTGCTTCTTGCTCCCTAGCCTTCCCTCCACCTTCCTTTGCTTCATTTCTTCCCCCTGGGGTCCTGTTAGGGTAAGAACCTACAATCACTACATGCTTCTCTCACACTTAACTCTCTATTTACACTCTGGGGGGAGGCCTGGCAGGCTCTGGGACAAGAGAGCTGGGCACAAAGTGTTGCACATTATTCGCATTATCACAGCCACTGCCAGGCTGAAGTGCAAGTTCAAAAAAAAAAAAATTCAGAGGTCAACAAGATGGCTCACTAGGTAAAAGCACTTGCCACCAAGCCAGACAACCTGAGTTCAACCCTCATGTCGCACATGGTGGAAGGAGAAAATAATAGTCTCCAACAAGTTGTCCTCTGGCCTCCACATGTGTGCCTGGAATCCACCTGAACATAGGAGCATGTGCAAACATACCCTAATACACACAAATGTGCATTACACACACATATGCCATATATAAATAAACTTTAAAAGGTCTTTAATACCCTACTAGGAAGCTCTTGTTTTCTTATCACCTTCATCCCACTGTCTGTCCTGAAATGTATCCTTTTTATATGCAAGCTTTGTGTTTTGTTCTATCTACTGTTTTTATTTCATTATCTGAGTGTCCCACCTGAAAGTCCAGTAGCCATCAAGCCTTGTGGCCCCTTCTTGCTCCATTCACAGCACCCAATTCAGTCAGTAGGTCCCAAAAACCTACTGACTGACAGAGAAGGCAGTCAGAATTTATATTTCTAATCGGATAGTACTGAGGATGCTAGTCTGGAAATCTCACTTGGAAGATTATATTAACCTAAGCATTTTCTTCCAAACTCTGGACATTTGTTCACTTTGTATTTAGAAATAAACAATCATTGCACAGCAACCCTAGATAGGTCACAGGAGTGCATCGTTCCTCTTTGCAGTGACAGTAGATTAAGGAAAGTAGGGTGGTATCTGGGATGCACAGTTCTCTAGTAGGGGTGTGATTGTCACAATGATCCAGCCCAGGAACAAGATCATCTTATGGCAAAGGCAAGGGAGTGTTCAGCCTGGTAGTAGGGGCATTTGGGATCGTTCGGTATCCGTGGAGGATTGGCTCCAAATCCTTGGCTGTTCAACTCCCTTTTTAAAGTAGTGGAGGAGTGGCCGTGCACTCTGGAGGTAGAGGCAGGCAGATCTCTGTGAGTTCGAGGCCAGCCTGGTCTCCAGAGCAAGTGCCAGGATAGGCTCCAAAGCTACACAGAGAAATCCTGTCTCAAAAAACCTCAGAGAATGAAAGAGAGAGAGAGAGAGAGAGAGAGAGAGAGAGAGAGAGAGAGAGAGAGATAAAGTAGTAGAAGAGTGTAAAGTGTAAACCACCTCTAGCCTATACCTAGTATAATGTCAGTGTTATGTAAATCTGTCAAGGATACTTTTCAGAGAGAAGTGATGAATAAAAAGATAGTGTGTTCTTAGTAAGGATACAGGCTTATGTTGTTTGTTCCCCCCTGAGTATTTTCCATCTGAGATTAGTTGAGTCAATAATTAAGGATACAGAGGGCCTACTTACCACCGGTTGCTACTTTATTCTCATACAAAGCAAAATTGTTCTGCCTCTCTCCATGTGACATGTTTGCTGTTAATAGCAGAGGTATTTATCATATCCTATTCTATCAATACAGATAGCAACTTGTTAAAGTTAAGAAGAGAATGTTTAATGGGATAAAGATGCTATTTTTACTGGGTCATCGGGGTGCAGGAAAATGGCTGTGTTGCTAAGTCAATGTGGTGTGACTGTGCCCATCCTCTAACCACATCTAAGACGCCACCAGGTGACCACAGTCAGCTTCTCTCTAGGAATCTAGAAACTGAGGCTCAGAGACTTAGTACCCTGCCCCAAGTCACACAGCTGTTGAGGAGTGAGGTCATGATCTGAGCCCAGGTTGGTCTGAGCTTACCTCTGGGTCATGGTCACACCTGTTGCAGTTTTGCGACAGTCTATGTCAGGGTTATTCAGAACTGCCTCTACCTCAAGGGTCCACAGCTATCTAGGGAGAAGGAATGCAGATGAGGGGCCTCCCTTCCCAGAATGCTGCCTGTTCCCAACCAAGTCCAGTTTTAAAAGCAAAATAAGTTACAAGAAAGCATGCCGTGCCGCATGCCTGTCTCTATGAGTACAGCTCCATGCACTTAAAGCCACCATAGTAGCTGAGGAAATGCCATGTCTGTAGATATGGATAGGACTAGAACAGAGCTTGTATCTCCTCGGAGATGCTTTATGTCTTTGAGACATAAAGACATAAAGCCATGTTTATGTCTTTGAGAGCTTTGCTCAACTCTCCCTGGCATTCCATTCTTTCACAGGATGTGGGGGGCATGATTCAGGGCCACCCACTGTGGCCTGGTAGGGCTTCCTAGCCTGGGACTCTCCCAATCTCTTTATATAGAGAAAGGTGATGCTATGTGTTCAGTGCTTGCTCTCAGACTAACTCTGGCGCTAAGCAGAGATGCTCAAAAGGGATGTTGTTTGGACTTTGGTGAAAAAAAAAATGATTCTAGAAAGAAATCCACATTACTCAATAAATCATAGCTGAGGCCGGAGATGGGAGGGGGTGGTTCAAGTTCAAGCCATGAAAAAATGTTGGGCAGGGAAGAGAAAAGAGTGCCAATATGATGAGCCAGCATACCAGCAACAGGTCAGATAAGTCACTAAATCTTAGGACAGCCATGAGGTTACATCATGGAACATACAAAGGTATTGGAATGTTGAGAAGTCCTTTGTCTTCAAAAGACAGACAGCCTCAGACTCTGCTACACTGACTCAAAGGGGGAGAGGAGTTTTAAGGGCTCAGCAAGGGGAACAACACAGCATTCCTGGGGATCAGGAGGTAGCAGCAGCCTTAGGTTGGCCAGAGCATGTGCATAAATGAGGATATTGGATGTCAAGAGTGGGAAGGCTATAGTATAGGGCCATGTGTTGCAAAAGCAGTAATGGGGCCTCCTGAGCTGTGAAAGAAAATTTACAGGCCCTTCTTCAGGAACTGTAAACACTCAGCTAGGCTCTGCTCCAGCCAAGCTATTTGCCCTGGCCATCAGTGAGCTTGTGGACCACTGATGAAATGAAGCACTCCACCTTCTATATGCAGGTTCCACATCCCAGCATTCAACCTTGGATTAAACTATTTTTTTCAATTACATCAGTATGGGACAGATAGACTTCCTTGTCATTATGCCCTGGATAATACACTATTCTATGTGGCATTTACATTATATTAGGGATTGTAAGCAATCTAGAGATGATTTGCAGTATGTGGGAGAATTTTATAAGTTAAATGCAAACATATTTAATATGAAACTTGAACAATGCTTGAGTTTGGGTATCTGGGTCCTGTAGGGAAGGAGGCATTCCTCACTGATCTCAAATGCTGACTATATTCACAGAGGGTTTCGTGAACCCAGAGAGGACTTGGTGCAGAGAGAAGGGAGCAAACGATGGATGCTGCCATGGTACCAGGGCGGGGTTGTGTGGAGGGGAGGACCAAAGGAGCTGCATCTGGAGGACAGGTCTTATTGACAAAGCATTTCAGGAAAAGACAGAGAATGCCTGAGCTACTGAACCTAAATGGGAACAGGACCTGTTGTTCATGCGGAGCCCAGGGTGTCCAGCTGTGAGGGGATGCAGGAATTATTCTCCGCTCAGGATGAAGCTAAGGAAGATTATCCCTGGCCTCCCCCCTTATAGCAGCTAGCAATGCAGAGGCAAGAGGGCTTCATGACTAATGATTCTAAGAGTCCAGTGAGGTATTGTCAGTTCTGAATGAATTAGTCATAAGGGAAGGAAGAAAGGAAGGAGATCTAGAAGCAAGAGAGAAACTAGACATGAGGCCAAGCTTCATAAGCAACAAGGAAAACCAGCCAGTAGAGCTCCAGAGAGAAGTACAGCAACTCGGGGCTTTCTTGGGAGCTGACTCCAAGGTTCCAACTTCCTGGACTCCTGGTTCCAAAGTCAAGTTGGCTTTTGACCATCCACCTCCATTGAGACTCAAGTGCCTGGGGCTTCCCTACCAGCCGTAGTTTTTAGTGTTGAATTACCATCTCAGGGTCTCCTCAGTACCCATGTGAACCTTAACTGTAAGAGACAAGGAACCCAGGATCCCAAAGAGAATGCTTCTTTCAGAGGCTCCTCCAAGGCCATACTGCCTCTCTGTGGCCAGGCATGGAAGTGTAGCCACTGGTGCTACTGAGAATAAGAGGGGGTGACACTGGAAACTGGAAACTGAAGTCTCTGCCCTGACACCAGAAGGGAACTGGGTGCTTCCCAACAGCCCGCAGCTTACTTTCAGAGCCATGGTGGGATGCCAGAAACCCTGACACACCAACCAACCACCAAGGTGCCTTTGTCTTGTGCTCCTGAAAATCACCTCCTAGCTTAACACACAGATTGCCTTGAGGAATGAGGAGTATCCCCCAAAGATCTAGGGCTGCATCATTTTCTACTCAGTCTGGAGTCCTCTCTCCTGCCGGACTACGCAGAGTTTGAAGGTCAAGGGTCAGGACTGTGCTTCAGGAGGGTGACTGAAGAGGCACATTCATGAGCTTGCAAATGAACTGCTGTGAGCTCGAGGTAGGAGAAGCTCTGCAACAGCCATGATCTTTGCACACGACTCTAGATGATCCACATCTGTTTCTAAACTCAGAGTGTCTGCCAACCCCTAGGAAGCTGAGCAGAGCTGTCGTGAGAAAGGATGTGACCAGCCACCACTGCCCACAGTGCTCTCACCTCCCGGCTCCACCCTCCTGGTCCTTGGCACAACAACCCCTGGGCACATCTGGGTTGTGGACCCCTAAATCTTCTGCAGAGCCTTTGACTAATGAATTCTTATAATCTGCTGATCCTGCAAGTGAGGGTTGTCAGCAGATTGCAGAAACAGCCAATCTCTGAATGGAGGACAATGAGAGGGACTGAACCCAGCCCCTGGGTCCCCCTGAAGTCCTAGTGCTGCCTTCCTCAAGGTTTAGGACCTGGGAAACACAGTCACATGTGTTCCCAGGTAAAATCTCAACTCAACCTGTCTTGTTTTTGTTCTTGCACAGCGCCTCCACCTCAGTGAAGATGTGGCAGGAGCCACATTCATGGCAGCAGGCAGCTCAGCCCCAGAGCTGTTCACATCGGTCATAGGTACGTGACACTACAAGGATATCTCAGCCCTTTCCTATGGGAGAGTGATGGGGAATGTACTGTGTATGTTTATCTTATTGATTGTTGAATAAAATACTGTTTGGCCAATAAGACAGAAAGTTAGACAAGACTAGGAGTCAAAGAGGATTCTGGGAAATGTAGTAGAGAAGTGCTGATCCAGGCAGGAAGTGACATAGCAAGGAGACTCATATTTAAGCGAAGGAGAAACAGGAAGGGTCCCTTTTCCCCTTGCTCCTCCAGCAGCACAATGTGATCCACCGACAAGGAGGGACACCAACAAGGCGTCCGATAAGATAAGTCTTATAAAATATATAGACTTATGATAATTAAGACTGAGCTAACAGATGAGAATCCTAGTCATTGGCCAAGCAGCATTTGAACCTAATACAAGTTTCTGTGTATTCATTTGGGCCCTAACTCAGGTGGGCAGCTGGCAGTGGGGCTCGGTGGCTTTTGACAGAAAGATTTCTCGTAACAGGAGAGAAAAGGGCTCTGGGGAAGAAGGCCCTCAAATTTGGGTTTTCTGCCATCAGCAAACAATGAAGTTCACAGAGCCCAAGCAGAGCCTCCCATTTTGCTGTGGTCATTCAATCCTTTTACTGTATGTGAACTTGTCCTAGACCCAGACCCAGGGCTGCTAAGGGAAAGTCTCACCTCTGGGTTCAAAAGCTCCTCCCAATGGTTAGCTATTTGCTGTGGATCCTGAGTATAGTTTAGAGCTAGGAAATGTCCTTCAGGTTCTCCTTGAGATGTAGCTGGACCACTACAGCCAGACTGGTTTTGGTCTGTGTTTCAGGAGTCTTCATCACCAAGGGTGATGTAGGAGTCGGCACCATCGTGGGCTCTGCTGTGTTCAACATCCTGTGTATCATTGGTGTCTGTGGGCTCTTTGCAGGGCAGGTAAGGCTGATGACATTTATGTGATGGTTGTAAGTAACATGTGGAGAAGCTAGGAATGTGGAGCTGGGGCAGGAAATTGTCGTGTTGGAATTCATCTACATTGGAGCATTGAGCAGTGTGATTGAAGGTTTCCACTGTTATTTGGTTTCCAGATTTATAGAAAATAGACTTTCCAGCTCCACATGGGAAATTAACCAGCCTGACAATGTTAACTGTGAACTGAAAATGTGATGCCCACCCCCACCCCTCACCCCCCATTTTGAGAGCTACTGATCTGTACTACAATGAGCTAAAATAATTTCCAATGTGATGGTTGCCTCAGAGGAAATAAGATAAAAGGGAGAAGAAAAGAGACAAGATTTTTCTGCTTAAAGACTTCTTCATAGTTGTCACCATTCAGGATGTCACCTTTCTGCCGGCTGCTGGAACTTTGGGGGGGGGGCTTATAGTCTTAAGATAACCTAAGGAGATTATTCCAGTGCTAGGGGTATCCTGAGCTGTCCTTCATGAATGTTGGTTTCTCTTGAATAGTCTCTGGAGTTTGTTCAGAAGTCAGAGTATGAGGCTATTGGGCAGCCAAGATCAAAGGTTCACAGGGCTTAGAGCTTCCCTGGGACTCTCATATCCTAGTTTCCTCAGAAAATAGCCATAATAAATAAGATCCTCAGTTCTCTGTCTAAACAGTCAAGACTCAGGATCTCCTAGAGAAACCCAGTTCTAATATTCCAGAGGTGGTCACTTATAACATTGAGGGACCTGGTAATCCACTTCACCTGATCAGGAACCTCAGTGTGGTCTGTGCCATGCCCTGCTGGAAGTGACTGGTTGGTATAAAGGGCTGAGACAGATGCTAGTGTCCTTCATCCTTATGTGTCCAGGCCTCTGTCTCTCAGAAGCTGCTCAGAATGGCATGATATCTGCTCTTCAAATGTACACTCAAGAGTTCCCTAGAATTCACCATTATTCTCCATGATCCATTTTTCCTGTCACCATTTCCATGCCAACTGATTTGTCTGGTGTGCCCACTTGTGTTTATTCCTTCCAAGTGATAGGCAGAAGAACACCTTGATGGTGTCCAAAATCAGCTCCAGGGCTCCTGGGTGGACAGGCCACTTCTCAAGAGGCTCCTGGGCAGGTGCTTTGTTCATGATGATTGAAGTCTGCCCCACTCACTTGACTGAAAATTTTCTGCTTTCTCAATGACCCGTTGTGTTAAGTGTAATGAGTCCACACTGCAGTGTTCTTGAATTCTCCCACGTAAGTAGCGCCGCCAAAGGAATGAGCCGCATGCCTGCCTTTACTGCTGTCATTCTCCCCTGGCTCTACCCTGCCTGACCGACTCACCATTGCCTTCCAGAGATGAATAGTCACACCACCAGAAGCTGTTGCTGTTCGCACTTTCTTAATTAGCATTGTCACCATTAGCTGTATGATTATTAGCCCAGCCGTTATTAGTGTTGTCATTAGTTCATTAGTCATTTGTACCTGCAACTTGATTCTGAAGCATGCCCGAAGGGGAAGAGATAATGTAAAGAAATGAAACAAATGACTGGGTGGTGTCTATTCAGTGCCACACAGCTAATGACTTATGAAATGACTGCAGTGTGTTTGTGGCGTGTAATTCATCAGCGGTACCACTCATCACAAGCTTGGCTAGAACACCAGCTCATAGCTTATGCACAGGTTGTTGGCATCGGTCTTTCTACCTCCTCCAGGTCCTTGCTGGCTGGTCTCACAGAGCCATGTGACTGGAGAGAGGTAACAGCCAGAGCTTTTCCTGGAAGCAGCCATCATGGTGATCCTAGATGTACCCTGCCTTTTTTCTTTTTTCTTTTATTTTTTTAGCCTGTGCCTACTTGGATACATCCAAAGTCATCTATACTTGCTTTTTTTGTAGAATCGCTCACATCTTTGCAGAAGATTGTATTTGGAGAGTAACACGGGCCAAAGAGTCAGAATAACCTGGGATTGCATATTTGCTCTGCCGTTTGCTAACTGGGTGACTTTGGAGAAGTTATTTTAGCTACTAAAGCCTGATCCCTTCTCATCTATAGAGTGGGTATAAACACCCCTACTTCTGAGTGTTGCCATGGTGCTGAAACCTATCATGTTTGACATTAATAATAGCACTTGGTCTGCAAGGACAGTCAATACAAGTTAGACACTTTGATCAACTCTTGGTATACTTATCCTGAGGTCCCCACTACCAGATTCCACCCTAGATCCCTGGGAAGGTTTGGCCATTCAGCTGATGGAGTGATTGACAAGGGTGTCTGTGACTCCTGTCAGAGACATGTCGGGGAGCAGAGAGGTCAGGAAGAAAGGTCTTGTAAATGAGAACGAAATGGTACATTAACATAAGAGATCAGAGGACAAGTACTTAGTCCTAGGCAGTCTCAGGAGTGGTAGAAAAGAACAGTCATCAAGTAGTGAGAGTTGTCTAGCCTCACACAGGAGGACGCATTCCCAGACAGCAGAGCTGGTGCCATGGGATGTCACAACAAAGGACAGGAATCAGGCAATGAGTCATTAATAAATTTACTCACAGGTACCACTTATTATTATTTATATTGCCCTGTGCTTTCACTTGGCTGGGAGAATTACAGCAAGCACCCATGGGTCTGTCTCTAATGCAGTTCAGCTTTAAGGGCAGTACATGAGGAAGTCTGTTGCCCATCCAAACTGAAAGTCATTAAGCTGTAAGGTTTGAGCTTCTGTCTCAATTAGTGTTTTGATGAATCTGGTGTAATTGGATGGCTGCTGTATTAGCAGTTTACAAACATACCCAATGCCTCGTGTTCGCCTGAGGTGCTTTGTGGAGTTTATACGGGACAGGAGGAAATTGCCTCTCAGAAAGTGGCTTGGAAAGAGGTTGTGGGTATCCCACAAGACATTTACAGAGCTGCAGTCCTCCCAGGTTTTCCTTAAGAACAAAGAAGAATAACAACGAAGTGAAAATATCCAGGTCTTGACGCAAACTTCTAATATATTTTGCATATTGCATTAAAAAGACTTCATGCCAATTTCATAAAACAATGTGCTTATGAATTTAAATCCACCATTCAGAGCATGTTAAGCTTTAAATACATAACCACAAACAGAGAGTAAACAGTTTAACTGCATCCCAGATTAGGACTTTCATATTCTGGTTATTACAGGCTGGCAGATGGCTCCGGTTTGTTATAAAAGCTCCCACATTGGCTCCTGGCATCCTTATAATGTCCCTGATGTTCTTTGGCGAGGTCCATCTAATCTTGGCTACATTTGCCTTTCTTCAAATAGCACCCTGTCTGAGCTGGCTCGTTTACACAAAACAGAGCAGCACCAAGTGGTTATACATCCGAGTTGAAGCTTGCCTTCATTTGAATATCCCCAGAAGAAGAATCCAGGCAGGAAGTCAAGTGCAAGTAGTTAATTTGAAAGGTTGCCCCAGGGAACACAAGCAAGACATTGAGGAAGTGAGACAGGGAAGAAAAAGCCACAGACAAAAGTATTAATGAGCAAGTTATCACTACCAGCAACTGGGACTTGATTCATCTTGGGAACTGGTTCACAGGTGTGCAATGATCTCACATAAGAGGCAAGAGAGCTGGATACTTATCCACCAGCTTCCAAATTCCATTCCATGTGAGTGCTGGTAAGAAACATGAATCCCTCAGCATTCCAGCTTGTTGGGTGGTCACAGTCAGGGTGGATGGACCTTGGGACTCAGAGAAAACCCCAGGCAAAGGGATGCAAGGGTTGCCTACTCAAAGGACCTGAAAAGGTGGAGAGATGCAAATGGGCATATAGAGTGTGTGGCAAACACAAGACTAAGGCTTCAAAATAAGCTAGCTCTTTAGACCCCATCTTCAACTCCACTGATGGATACAAGGGTGAGGACCAGGTGGACCACTAGGAAATTATAGATGTGGATCTGAGGCAGTACAGTGCTTGCCTAGTGTGTGTGAGGCCCTGGCTTGATCCCTAGTACCAAATAAATAGATAGATAGATAAATAAATAAATAAATAAATAAATACATAAATAAATAAATAAATAAATGTTCTTAAAGGTTTAAAAGACTATGATTTTTCATTTTCCAAAAGTGACTGATCCCACTCCAAGTATGTCAATTTAGTATGAATTTACTGAAACTATGATTCTCATGGTATAATTGGTAAGTTTATTAAAAAAGCCAGAAAAATCTTAGGATTAGCCAATGTATAATATTCATGCAGTGCTACTTGTATATTATATAATGTTTTAAAACATTTTAATATGTAAACGCATGTCATTCCTTGTGAATATTCTGACCTGGTCTATTTAATGCTTATCCAGGGATTTGTGCTCTAGAGGCACAGATGCTGGGGATTGGTGGACCTTGAATATATATATATATATATATATATATATATATATATATATGTCTATGTGGGTATGTGCACATGTGTGTGAGGTTTGGGTGTGTGTGGAAGCCAGAGGTCAACATCAGGGGTTTCAATTACTCTCCACCAATCTCTCACTGAACCCAGAGCGCCATCAACTCAGCATGACTGTCTGCCTCTGCTCTCCCAATGCTGAGGTTACAGATATGCACTGCCACACACAGTGACTACCCAGACTGGGGTCTGTGTACTTGTGAGGAGGCCCTTTATCAGCACAGCCATCTCCTCAGCCCAAATAATAAGGTATTAAAGGAAAACTGGTATATACCGCATGTCCTATAACCTCTGGGAAGAAAAATACAAATTAACAGTGACTCTGATAGTTTAATTCTGCCCCAGGTCAGAGCTTCATTAAATAGAAACCTTTCATTTAAAACGGCATGCTTCACAACTCACATTAAAAACCGTCATCGGATGGGGGAGCGAGTAGCTGCTGCTCAATAAGCTGATTCAGACACCACACCCACCAATGGTCTGTGAGTATTTGTACAAAGGTACCCACTGAGTTTTAAGGTACAGGACAGTACTATCCTCATCAACATCTTAGGAAATGGGCCCTAAAGATTTGGAAAAGG